CACAGTTTAAAAACAGAGTATAAAAATCATGACATTGTAGTCAATACGTAGGTACAAATATAGTTAGACTTGAAGGTTGTCAAATAAATACAGGCTTTTTATAATTCGAAATAACAAACAAAAAAATAACCGTATGGTGAAGGATTAACAATACGGAGTGTACCACCCATTCATTCCGTGGGTGTCGTAAGAGCCGACTAAGGGAGCAAACTACGGGCGGAAAACTTGAAACAAGCTCCTAATCTAGCGTGGTAGGCTACTAAAGGCTAATAATTATACCGCAAAAATATTCCATAATTTATCTTTACTTGAAAACAGCGCTTCTAAAATTAGAATATAAAGTACAATAAGCAATAAAGCATACTTATATAAAACCAAGCTAGAGCTATAGCTTATAATTGATATAGTATCCATTGAGAAAGGTTATAAGGCTATCAAACATCATACTAAAAAGTTGAGAACAGAAAACAGAAGCAAGTGAAACTGAGGAGATTAGCTAATAAAGGCAATAGTCAGGCGTCTTAAAGAGATACCTTGCCACTTGTTCTATTCAGATCTTTTAAATGTAAAAGATCTGGATAGAACAAGTAACAATCTAGATAGTTGTTTTTTACCATTATGATATGTACCATTGTACATATCTATATATTAAAAAATCAAAAACAGCAAAACATCTACTAAAAGAAAGATAAGTCATAGGTATTTTCGCAGACATAGTGGCATCCTTAATGAAGTTTTTACTTTTGATGCTATCAAATCAAATAAATTAATTATTTCGAAACATTGAGTAGAGAAATACAAACACTGTATGTGAGTAGTTGAAAAATCACCTAATTATGTGGTCTAATCTACTACTAGCACATTTTAAAAATCCTTTCTTAATGGAGGCTTACAAAGTAGTAAGCATCATCTGCCAACATTTTAAGTTTGTCTGCGTTGATGAATCAGTCAGCCAGGGCAAGTAATGTTACATGTATAGATAACGCACGTGTAAGTACATTTTGCAATGGTTATGCAGCACTAACTCCTAGGTGAGAGATGGCTAGGGGTGCAAACAGCTTAGAACATTATTCAGTGAAAAATCTTGAATAAAATGACTTTTGGCAGATTTTTGCTGATGAGATGACGTTTAATTACCTATAACCATACATACGAGATTTTATTACAAATTTAGTGGTTAAAGTGGACTCTAATAGCTCCAGTAGTACCTTTGATAGCGTTAAAGTAACTCAAGTGTAATAATTTTTTTTAATTTGAATTATTAACGAGAAGTTTTTATTTATTTTTATCGAACGAGCTTATCAGTAGAATCAATATTAGTATTTATAGGTGAGTCTATCCTATAGAACATAAACATAGATGCTGGGGTTGTGTAATAAACGTAACAACGTATAATTATTCGTTGCAAATATTTGTTCATCGTTAATCATATATAAAAAGTGGCCTTAGTGGGATTACATAATGGCTAAAGAGTTCGATATGCGATCAAGTGTTTGTGGATTTCAAGTCTCAGAATACCACCGCATCTTTATACTACAACATATTTCTTAAAATATATATTGCTAAATATCTATTCTGTTTCAAATAAAAACAGAAAAACCTAACAAGTGCGATTTTGACCAAGTTTTTTACAAAATTATATGAATATACACTTGAAAACTTTGTTGTCTTAAAAATACTCCCCCATGCATCGATATACATCACTGTCAATTTTCCAAGCGCAATTTAAAAGTTTCCAAACAAAAAATGTAAGTACTAGTTTTATTGTATCTCTAACTAAAATCTTTAACTTTTAATACACTTTTCTGTAGTTTCCTTTTTATCTTGAAGGCGTTTGTTATTTTTTACGACACGTAAAAGTAAAAAAATACACAAAGTTATTACCATAATACAAGTAGTAGCTTAATCTATGTCAATAAAAGCATGACCGCATACGGAGCGACGGACGCACACTGGGGACATAAAATGTTCCCGATAGTCGTCGGAATCAATTTGTGAAAGTGATATTCAGAAATACCTACTTCTACTTTTTCAATAAGTTACTTACCAGTAATTGATTTGATAGAATTTGAATATTCGTAACTTTTTCTGCTTACCAAAAGTGACTGTTATATTCGCCCCTTATTAGTCACTTTTAAATTAATAAAAATATAAAGAATGGCTATAAACTATTATTTCCTTTCCTTACTCAAAATGAATTCAAACAAACATTTTCTTTAATAATAAATAGACCCAAACCAAAAACTCTAATGACTAACTGTCTCACAAATAAAATAAAATATATAATATAGCATTAAAGTCTTCTAACTATTTTGACATACACCAATCAAGCACATGCATATAACAATCATAAACCTCGATTTATAAAAAAAAATGTTTTTTTTCGATAATCAAACTCCGCGAAACGTAGTGAAGGTAATCAAACATAGACCCTTTTATGGTGGTCTAATCTAATATTTAGTAAAGGAAATATTTCACAATCCTGTCTTTTAATGCTTTTTAACTAGTAAACACATGATAACGATGTCGGTAATTTTTGATAATGGTGACGCTTTTAAGTGTTTATTAAAGAATTAAGTATCTATTAAACATATGTGTTGAAAGCGGCCTCTTGGTTTTTTTATTTATTATAATATAAATAAATATTTCGGACATCTAACACACAACGCCTAGTTTACACTAAGTGGAGCTTGTACCATGCAAGTGAGATTGACTGAACAAATACTTACATCCTTTTTTTTTGTAAATACCTACATTTTATACTTAGAAAACACAAAAACTCCGAAACAAATATTTGCAGATTTTTAAATAAACGCAGACATTAAAAAGGTATTTCATTTATTACCACATTAAGCCTTAAAATACCATACAAAATCATAAAATGTTTTCGTCCCTTTATTTAATGCTAGCTTTAAGAATACTCGTCCCACTATGCGTCACCTCAGACGTGGTAGTGCGTGAAATCCAACTTTGAGTTCAACTGACCACTTTCCATTATCAACTCCGATTGAAGTTTATGCTGGTCAACATTTGAGATAAGATCGATAACCTCCTATTAATCAAACCGACCGATATAGAAAACCAGTAGAAAATAATTATTTTGTTACAAACAAAATGTCTATTTAAATAGAACTCGATATTTATCATGAAATTTTGATAAATATAGTAAAGCTTTGTACTTATTTCCGGTTGGGAATTTATGTAATATTATATAATCATGGTTACATTTGTGTTATATAAGCGCTAAAATATTTTAAATTCAACGTTCTATTACAGATAAAAACATTAACAACATCTCATACATTAGACATAAACGCGTCACTGCATTAAAATGCATGTATGATATGCGCAGGCGCAGATCTAATTTTCTATTGCTTATTTAATATCTCAAACTATAAAATATGAAGGAAGTTATGATTAATCCTTCACGAATTTTGATGATTGGACAAATCGTGAGGCGGGCCGTGCAAACATCGTTATCTATTCCATATGAAGCCTGTATTGAGCAATATTTCGCAAAACGCTTCTTCGACAACAATACCGTGACAAGCGGCGAAGACAAACACTACTTCGCTATCTTATGAATAATGCCGATTATATTGAGTAAACACATGCACACGCGACCGCAGTGGATTTTTCATGAAGTTTTATCGTATACAGTGTGTACCCATTTATTAGTCAATTTTTTCTTAGTTACTTTTTTAACATGTTTTTCTGCACTTGTAACCAACTAACTACGTAACTTAATTAAACCTACCTGAAACCCTCTTGTGTTTTTATCATATACTTCGTTTTGGAAAGTCTAACAGATTGAGCTTGTAACCATACTTTAATGATGAAACCGGAAGATAAATGGTAGAAGTCTTTTTTTTACTTTCTAATTCGATCCGCATCTTAAATGTTCTTCAGGTTTATTTTAGTAAATTAATATCAGCTATATTTAAATAAGCAATTCATACACGTTTTAGTTTATACACGTTGTACATTTGAAAAGCATCAAAGTTAACTGTAAAAAAATGTTCTGTAATAATAATAATATTTCTTACCTATAAGACTTAAATGTAGAACTTGAATGATTAGTCTAGAGCAAAATAAGAATAAATTATATAGAAAACATTAACCTCGCATCCTGCTTCTTTAGGAAGATGGGACAAAGGATTTACAGAAAAACAGTAGATGAAACAAAGAGTCCTGTAAACTCTTCTTCTTCGTTACAATAACACTGAAATATTAAATCTAGGTAAAAAAAAATTGGTCTAGATACTAGTAGGAGAGTCGTACATTGTTAAATACTACGTTAAAGAAAATCGTAGCAATTAATCAAGAGGACTTAACAATGTCGCTAGGACACAACAATTTCGCAACTTGGGTTGTGAAGTCCTCGAAATAAATATTTAATGAATATGTGTAATACTTACATCTTTAAACCACGAGATTACACATTACTATGATGTACGTAATTCTGTATTTTATAAATTTATAGTATAAGTACTAAAAACTATGATACTTCCACTAGATTAAATGTATTTTAAAACCATAGTTTTCCATAAATAAAGAAAGAAAATACACTCAAATAGAATAAATGTTCTAAACATGAAACCATTAAAGAATATTTAAATAAAAGCTCAAATAATTGATGTTTACAAAACATTCACGTACCCTCACTTTCCTTTATTTTGTTTTCCTTATAGACTATATTGCGTAATCACCTATTAGTTCATCATTCAAGCCTCAATATGTCCGAACCACTAACGGTTATATTGATTTAGTTACAGCCTGTGCGTGTGGTAGGTGGGCTTCCGCGCACGAGTCACCTAGATGTCGCGCCTATTGTCCAAACCGTCCAGCACTGGGTGAGCCACCCATGCCATTACCTCACACTCAATACTGGGTTACGAGAATTTTACTTCAAGGTCCTTGTTTAGGAACAAATAGAAGTGGTATAAATTCAAAGACGAGCAGCAACGGTATGCAGTGAGAGTTCAGCACCTCGTCCGAAAATGTATGCGTACATTGGTTTTGTAATGTGCTTTTGTGTGGGTACGTGCAGTGAAATTAATTGTTTATTAGTAAATTCAATTATTTATTGTTGCTAGTCTAAATAGTTCTTTTTGTTTGTTTATAGGGAATACTTTGGGGTATTATCCACAAAGAGTAGCACCATACCATACAGGAGCAAACGATCCATTTCCAGTTGAAGTAAGGCCACATTCATTGCAAGAACCGTCGCAGAGACTGTTCTGGGGAAACCAAGGTACCAATCAAGTTGGAGGAACTGGATTATGGGCACATTTGACAAATAAATTCCCATTCCTAGGAAACATGTTTGGAAGGCTTGAATCACCATCGCAATACGGTGTGCCAAATCAAAACAATGTACTTTCCAATGAGTATGGCATTCCAGGGATAAATCAAGCGCAGTATTATGCGCAGCAGCAGCAAGAATTTTACCAAAATCCACAATTCTATCAGCAGCCACAGCAATATTATCAACAAGTTCCTCAACAGCCTGGACAGCAAAATTTTGCTTTTGGGCGCGACGTTGGAATAACTGATGACGCTATCATAGTGACTCCACCATTTGTGCCGCCTGTGGTACAGCCTTCTCCTGTACCAGCTCCGACACCCGTACCGGCACCGGCACCACCAGCACCTGCTCTTGAACCTGTTCAAGGATACGCGTATAATAAACCTCAGTACAGGTTAGAGTTACCTCACAAATGATCAGTAGATACCACAAGTGCTTTAGAACTGTTGACTGATAACAGGAACTTAGGTAAATATTCATTGCACTGTTTTACTTTCTAAATCTTTACGAAATAAATATACGAAGAGTAGAAATTATATATCATTACTAATATTTTTGATTGGAAATAATATCTTATCAAATTTTGATAAGTCTTAATTATTTTAAAATTATTTGTAGTGGCTTCTAGAAGCCTAATTTTGAGTTACTACAAAAATTGGATTATCGAATAAGCAAAAAAATATATTTTGTTTTTGTTCTATTTTAGTAAAATAACATCTGATTTGTGAAGTATTACGAGTATGTTGTCACGTCACCTCATACTGACGGGTTTTAGATATTAAGTACTACATTAAAGCTCTCTTAGAGACAAAATCTTTTTTGTTAAAAGGTAAATAAAAGTTCTTTTCTATTAAATTTCATTTATTATATATTCCACCCTGAAATATGCGATAATAATTTATTTTCAGTTATTATACCGCTAATATTACACAAACTTATAAATACAAAAGCTCAAGTAGTTTGATAATTTTACAACAACTATTGTTATTTATAAATTTAACTATCGAATTTAATATTACCTCACACATCTTACATACGGCTGTCTGATCCCAAACTAGGCAGACTGCTGATAAACATACTTATATATTAATACATACATATTATAGATAAATTACACCCAGACACAGAACAAACGATCGTGCTCATCACACAAATATTTGTTCTGGGTGGGAATCGAACCCACGACCTCTGGCTTAGTAGTCAGGCTAACTACTAAACCAACAGGCCCGTCGAATCTTAGTTAATCTGTTAATATTAAATAGATTTAATAGGTAGAAGCAGACTGGTCGTAGTATCCATTGCCATTGGCGTCGAGACCAACGGACGTGCTGGCACTCACCGACTGTCCTTGTGTTAACCCATACATTCTTCGAGTCTGACCTGAGCTGCAGATACAATACAATTTTATATATAAAAGAAAGTAACACACTCATAAGTTAACTGAATGCTTATCAACTTAAAACTACGAAAACCTAAAGTAACTGAAATTAAATACAACTTTAAAATCAGAATATATTTAAAGGGGCATCTCCGAATCATATTTAAAGGAGGCATAATTTCTTACAGATCATTTATTTGCGAGTTTAGAAAAATCCACAAGCCTTAATGCTTGTCTCTTCATAGAGACAAGCATTAAGGCTTGTGGATTTTTACGAAAGACTTACTAATACACTTGTGCTTCTGTCATAATTGTGACTTATGTACATGTAATCTACCTATTAATTTCGTATAAGCTAGGATTAAATTGATATGAAAATTAAGTACATGTGTTTCAATAGCCCGACTTAATTATTTTGTCAAGTTCTTACTTATCTTATGACATGACAAATTACAAAAGCCGCAAGAGATCCAAAGTCCCTATTATGGCACCATTGAATTTTAGTCTAAATTATATCTCGTTATTCGCTATTAATCTCACTAACGTACAAAACTTCCGTGCAAAATTAGCAAAGTTACGACTGGGCACATTTATTCTTTTAATATAGATTAAAAGAATACATGTGCCATCATAATAAAGTATTTTTCAGTATTGATTATTTTTCTTTAAAATAAATAGAAATGTTTCATAAACTTTATTTAAAAAAAGATAGCAAATGAATGGAAGTATTTTTTGGTATAGGTAATATATTGTTTCATAAAAACTCTGTATCATTGTGTAGGCAGGCGCATTTAATAAATGATTTCATTGGTCCCTAAGCTCAATCGATGTGGAGTACTGCTATAAAGTTTAACAGGTTTAAACTTAGTTTCAAGATTTGACCAATAACAACAATATTTTGAACCAACCGATACCGAACAAAAACTGTAATATTTTAGAACCAAATTCATTTCGCAGCACTTGAATTGCTGCATTAGAATAATATGTACATATGGAAATTAAAGGACCCGTAAAATATCTAGCAACGACATAGTACGGTCGATATTAGGATAAATTTCTTTCTCCTTTCATTTCTTAATCAAATTTAATAAACTGCTTTAGGTGACTAATCCATGACGGATTAAGAATCCATCTAAATCACCCAAGAAAAATCTATCTGGCCAGTATAGTAGGCCAAAACCTTTTTTCTAAGAAGAGGCCTCTTCTTAGAAAAAATGGCTAGCAGTGGACTATCAAAGGCTGTTGATGATGAGGTGACATACTTGTATAGTTGTTTTAGTATTGAGAGCCGTGTATTCATCGTTTGTTTCATTTTTATTAAAAAAAAAAGAAAAAGTTACTAAATATTGATGTTTGCAATATGTTTAATTTTGAAATACAATTCACGCGAACTGAAAAAATGGGCATTGAAAGGGCAATCTTGCTCTACGCTTGTCAAACATCGGGGCTGGCACTAGTCGAACTCGCGAGGTTGGATCCAGATGTCTTATTAAAGGCTGTACCGGAATCCCTAATAATTTGTGTGCAGTATGCCACTCCGTGTGGTTTTAGTCATTTCGATTACGATGGACTGCCTCACCGAAGTACAGGATAGGGTGGATTCTCGGGCACGCCGTCATCACGGCGGTAAGACCCGTTATGGAGGATTGGAGAGGCGTCACGGGACCCTCTCATACCGACTGACGCAGGTGATCACTGGGAAAGGATGTTTCGGGAATCACTTGTGTCTGATCCGCAAGGAGCCAACGGCGAGACCTCGTGGCGGCCATCGGAGTGGGACTTCTCTCGCTCGATAGCCTGATTGCGGCTATCGTGCAGAGCGAGAGTGCGAGGAACTCTGCCGTCCCCTTCTGCGAGCAAGTTATGTTCGCGAAGGAGACCGAGACCGGGACCGGGAGAGGTTTAGAACTCTCAAGGCAAGGCACCGCAGGCGACTCAGGCGCCGGAGGTCGCAGAACGACCTCCGTCCTCCATAAGCGCAGGCCTGGGGGTGACAGGTGAGGCCATCTCTCACCCTAGCAGAAGCAGGCCGGGGTGGCGGCGAGCGCGTTGCGAAGCGCGCTCGCTTCCAGGGAGCAGAGGGAACATGGGGTTCCCACACGGGGGGGGGGGGGGGTCGTCTACTCGTCTGTAGATGGCCCGAGGTATGTCGGGGCACCAGGGACTTCCTTTCTAGGGTATACCTGGTTCCCCGGCTATTAGTACCCGAGACGGAGTGCGGTTTTAGTCGGTTCGAGTCCGACATGCCACCGATAGATAGTATCCGAGGGGATTTCCGCACGGAAAAAAAAAAACAAAAAAGTCACTAGTCGAACTCATAATTTTTAAACACTTATATTATACCATATTACAAATTTTTTAAATCCTTTACTGCACCTTTGTTCGCAGCCACCACATCTGGAACCCGATCTATAACATATACATAGATAGAATCGAGCGCATACAGAATCGGTTTTTGGATTTTTACAACATTAAACCCGTTATTACTCGTACACATCTAGTTACACTGCCGAATGTAAAATTTCACATTCTACCCCTGTATGAGCGTAGACATATTTCAGACATGGCATACTTATCCAAACTCGCCAATGGTTCAGTGGAGTGGTCAGAGTTGTTGGGTAAGATAGGATTAGTAACACATCCCACAATTCTGCGCAATCCTAGTCTTTAGTATGTTTCTTGGGTAAAGAGTACATATAGACAAAATTCATTTTTAATACGAGCGAGTAGACAAAATAATATAATTTCATCTCAATACGAAACCTATTATATATGGCACCAGTATTTCTAAACTTAAAATCATTTTTGCTAAGAAATTTTTTGATTGACTGGTTTTGTCTTTGTTTACTGACTTCCAATTTCATGTTACGAGTATATTTCTAATCGCGTAATTGGCCATCAGATGTTCATGTATTATGTCTTATGTGTTTAAAATGCTAGCTGTAATTATCCCCAACAAAGAAAAAATAAATTAAATATTTCACGGAGACAAGATTTAAAAAAGTACGAAAACGCCTCAATAGAATTCAAGTATACTTATTTAATTTTCCCCTATTATAACTTGGTCCCGTTGATGTTATTGTATCGTTTAATTTCTCTTCGTCCTATGGCAAGCTATGATAAGTCCAGTCTGTATTTGTTGTCCAAAACTGTTTATACCTTCCATAAGACTTAAAGCCTCTTTGACTAAAACAGACATATTACCCATATGCCCTGGAGTAAACCTCTTCACTCTATTAAACACGCCAAGATGTTTAATGGCCAACTTGGATTTACATTCTTAGTGACTTGTATTACTTAGTGACTACAATTGGCATATTAGTAAAGCAGTATGATAGAAAGAATCTTTTGTTAGGTAATGAATAAAATATACAGGTAAGCATGAATGCTAAAGAAAACAATAATTAATACATAATTGTTAAATTTCATAAACGTTTCTTTTTTTTTAAGACTAAACTCTGCGCTATTTTTTTTTTAGCAAGTTATCTAACCAATACAAACTTTGTCTCTGACATTCAAAGTTGATAAAATTCTTGTTCACAAAAGTCCCTATCTACGAGTTCTTCTTACTATTTTTGATACTCCTGCTTCAGAGTTTAGATTCGATCACTAGATGTACGTGAGAATGTATTTTGAAGTCATCAGTGTATGGAATACTACAACAAAATACCATACGTGTGGTGACGGATTAAGAATACGGAGTGTTGCCCCGTGGGTGTCGTAAGTAGGAAAAACTTGAAACAAACCATATAACAACTCCTCTGCCAAGCGTGGTATAGTAGGCTAAAACCTCCTTTCTAAGGAGAGGCCTATGTCCAACAGTGGACTATTAAAAGTTGTTGATAAATCAAAATAGTGTGTGTAATGGGATTTACGTCACTAGCATTTTTTTAGACCCGCTTTTAGCCTCGGGTGATGGACGCTCTGGCACATATGGGCCAGTTCGACCAGAGTGATGACACGGCTTCACAGGAAACCGTGGTGTTAGGACATTCGTTCGTGGCTTTTCCCGAGTTAGTGACGTTACTAGAGGCCAAAATTCTATGGGAAGGAGGCACTTACACGATATCAATGCATTTGTGTCTCTTGAGATGAATGTGTACATGGGCAGCTATAGTCATTTACCAACCCGTCCGTCGGTGTACCGTCTTCTCGTTAGTAGAAAAAAACTGCAGCTATTAGCGCTACTAGGCTATTGATTAATATAAAATAAATTTTGATTACGATTGATAAATGTTCAGAGAATAGTACAATTAGTGTTCTCATGTAAAAAAACAAGTAAAATTGTATTGAATCATGCTCTGCTAAAGAAAAAGATCTTTTGACACAAAAGGAATATCTTTTTTCCCTTTTATAACAAATTATTTAACAACAGAGTTTGCTATACACAGTGCCAAGTTAAAACGGTCTCAATCCACAGAGTTTTTAACGTACGTTCCTCATAGAATCATGACGATATAATGTGATGTAATGACAATTTAAAATGATCCCAAGGTTTAATAGTTAAACGTTATAGTATGAATATTGTGGTTGTGCTGTATCATTGTTCTGATGTCTTTTTTTATATCGTTATGCTTTTACAATTGTTTGCCATATTAAAAAGTACCTCCGTACAACTAGGTTATTCTTACGACTTAAAGTTGTTAATAACACTATAGTTTTGCTTCATATATTTAATATGTTATAATTTAGAAAATTGTTACATTAAAAATATATCATCTTCCGGCAGTTGCACAGCTTACACGTAGGTGCGCAGGCGCAAAAAGACGCGGCCCATGCTTGCAACTGGTGGAAAATACGCGTTCAGGGTGGAAGAGCCGACACCATGGAGTTAGTCTACATTATGTTGCCGCACCATACTTAATGCCTATGAACACAAAAATGAAATCAGTTAGTTACAAGTTAAATGTACTCAAACATTCCCTCATTCAAATCGCTTTATTAGGCTAAGATTAACAAATTCTATCAGATCGGTTACAGAAAGCAAAAAAACTACAACATACATGATATGACAATAATAACATGAGAATGTAGCGAGCATTTTGCTTGTGAATTAAAAAAATGTAAGTTTTAGACTTAGTTCATTTGGTTTTAAGCCCATCTTTAGTGCCTAGCTGACTAACGAATTACATAAAAGTATGTTTTGGAATTAGTACATAATTCAACGTTCTTCCAGTGCAAAATCTACTGCCCAAGGCGGAATTTGAAATACATACATACGTAATTAAAACATATGTACCTATACCACTTGCTAAACAGAAAATAAGGATGATCAGTAACAGTAACTGGTAATAATAGTGCGTATCATGTTTTCCTTAACTTTGAGATAACCTATAGACAAAATAAAAAAAAGTTATTGCTCTGAAATAACCTGTTTCACACGCAAGAGTTTTAAATGACGAAGCCATTAGAATCCGAACTCTGAATTAAACGTTTTAAATCTGGTATGCCTGGGCTACTAGTTTAGTACTTTAGACAGGAGAAGAATAGTAGTGAGAAAGCAAAAACAATAAAATTATGAGATTTTTTTTATGTAGATCTTGTGTAGAATTTTAAATATAATGTATATTGTATTCCTAATTTACAAGCTTATATTTGATTCACTTGTAACTAAATTTGTAAACAGACTGAACTTCGTAACCATGGTATAATGATGAAGACCTGGCTTTATTATTTACTTTTAAATTAGGGTTTCTTCCTGTTTTTTACGGAATTATCTTTTTTAAAATCTTAATAATTACTTATATAATAATTTATTTAACTATATTTTAGCCCTAGAGAAAGTATAAAATATTCAGGGTGCCAATAGCCTAGCTGTAAGTTCATGTCAGCGTAGTAGATGTTACCCGATATTTAAAAAAACTGAACTGAATATACAACAACTAGCAAAACTTAAATGTACATCTTTTGAAACAACGTAATTAACTACAACACATTTTACGTATTTCGTGTGTCGGTACACACAATACGTAGTCACGTCGTTGTGACATATAAACGTAAGCGACCATGTTATTATAATTATTATAATTAAACGCCTGAGATATTACATACCTCTTTCATTCAAGCTTAAGTCATTTACAGGCAAAAAAGCCTTCTGGTATTGGCAGGATCTATGGCAATTAAAAGTGTTTCTGACACTCGTTTTGTACTTGTGATATTAGCTTTAGAGCTATTCTTAGTTCAGTTACTGTTCTATTATATTATTATTTAATAGTCTAAATCAACATGGTTATACCTTCTAACTGTGGTAAGTTTTTATTTTAACTTCGACATAATAAGGTGTTGTTGAAATGTCAGTAAAATTAATGACGAACATCTCTTGATCTCGTTATCGGTCTGGACCTACGTGTCATGGCCCAAACTGTTTTAACGCAAAACCAGATTCCTCGTATTGTTAATTCTATTCCGATATGATAAATGGAGATTAATAAAATGACATTAAATGAGGATAAAACTGGGCACCTACTTACAAACATTGAGCTGAGTGCCGTATGGGTTGGTTATTTCACATTGTTTTAATGACTAGTGCTAAATATTCAAGAATATGTAATTACGCTAAAGGTTTTGCAGAGCCGTAACTTCCTCTCGGAGTGCCCCAACCGCCATTACCACCACCATTACCCCAACCGCCAGGGCCGTAGTTATTAGCTGTGGCTTCAGCATCCGCATTACCCGGTCCGTCTGAAAATAAAATTTATAAACTATAAGATACGTGTTACATATTTAAGAAATACTCATATAATAAAAATTCTTAAAAACTCCCTAAGTATAAGTATTTGTACAGTAGATACAGTACAAATACTTAGGGGGTTTTTAAGTATTTTATATAATATAAATAATACGGTATATAAATTACAGGGTAATCGCTGAATCGGCCTGTATAATAATAATGTATAGGTAAGTACATACCAGTAGTTACCGATGTCGTCTTTACTCAAAATAGTAGGTATTTTAAATACAATTTATATTATTTCAAATATATAATAAATTGAAATACACTACATAGGTATGTGACAGTAAAACTAATACTACTAATATACACGTAATCAATTAATATGTACTCGTATATGATTTTTAGTCCTTAATCGGGTTTTATCTTCGGGTTCTTCAGACGCCAAATTAGACATATACTAATGATTCACATAGGTATTTGCAACTAAACTCTCTATTTAATATATTTATATGTAAGTATGGAACTTAAATAATTCGCTGAAAGTAACGAAACAAACATTACATTCCACGACTAACAAACAGATAAGTTTCTAAACTTTCTAACATGATTGATCTATTCGTAAAATTAAGGTCGCAATTATAGTCATAAAAACATTAATTACGTGAGTATTCTAGTTCTCATTTCGTGGTCCATAGAAAGTGACGTTTATCGATCACTTTTAAGAGGACCGGATGACCGCTGCGTTCAGAATTCCAGCACCGTTAGACCAACGGTGCGACTTCGATAGGAGACAAGCCACAACGAACGCTTTAAGCTCATTGAATACGAGTCGTGTTCTAAATTCTAGAGTAATTTACTAACGTCGCGTTTGCCTTGTTTATGCATGTAAAGTGTTCAGAAATGCACTCGGTGCATAACAATGGGCTAGCTGGTATACATAACTTTAAACGATTTCTTTGCAATGGTTAAAGCCTCTGTGATTTAGTCAAAATTAAAGTAAAATCATCTGAGAAAAGTCCCTAATATTGACTGCAGAAAGGAATCCGTTCGTAGATCTCACGACTTCTCACTTACAAGTAATTAAAACATTCCAGCAAAAGTTCGTGAATTCACACACGTTAATTTTCAAGGCAAGATTCAAGAGTTAATATTATTAATTAATTTTAAGCACCTTGAACGACGCTAATTAAATTTAAAACGAAACCATACATAATAGAATCAATAACTGTCACTTAATTAATCAAGATGTACGGGACATAACCGTACTTACAACAGTTAAATATACAAGCCCAATAAAATTGTCGTCGTCTAATTATATAGCCCCGTCAATAATGTCATATCTATCATCATTCTAATTATCTAAATAAATAATATATAACAATAATATAATATGAATAACATATAATATTTTTACCTCACTCATCCATACCCCATTCGTCGAGAATATAGATCGTAGGCACATCGTACACACGATCTACAAGTTATTTAAAATGACATACTAAAATGGGTCGTAAGGAAGGTCGTCGTCGTCAAATAGACTACTAAACACAAATATTATTATATTTTTTTGTGTGTGAAGCCCACATTTTGTCAGTTAAATTGTTCAGTTCATAGATGGTTAATTTGAGTTTAGTCAAAATAATATTTAGTAATAATACTTGGGCACAGGGCTACACCTTTCAATAGTAACTTTAAAAAGTTTATTATAATTCATAGATTCAATTAATAATATTCCAGTTACATTCAACTTTTCGAAAGGCCGGCCTTTCATAGCTACGGACCAAAAATCAAAATTTTAAACTTTTTATATTATCATGTAAGACTAAGGTTTTAAAGTTGATGATAATAATATAATATTAGCTAAACAACGTAACTTTAAAAGTACTTACAATTATTAGCGTTAGCAACCGCCCTTGCACCTCCTGCATATGGAAGGGGTTGCAGCGACCTGCGCAAGCGTCGCAGCGGTACTCTTGCGGACTCGTGTCCTTCCGCATCTATCGTGTAATATGCACGAGGTACATAGTACTGACCTTCTGGAACAAGTCACGTGTCAAGCAATTTATATGAACAAGGTATAGTGGCCTAAATCGAAGCAGAGCATTTGTATCCCGTGTAAACATACTTTATGTACATGTACATTGTACTAGAGACGAAATTCACAGCGTATAAAAAACTATAAACTCAATTGCTTGTGTAATGTCAAAGTTTCTCAGCTGAGTTCACAATTTTTACGACGTGTATATATACTTATGTAGAGTCGACAATCCAAGAGTAAAACTCCGGTGCTTAATTCTGTAGGTACGTCTAATATACCTATGTGTTAAAAAAATGACACTGCATCTTGCCACATATTATCTCTTTCTTACAAAAGCATATAAGCTTGTCATGTAATTAATAAAATATACAACAAATATTTAGTGTGTTAAGCTAAGTTAATACAATTTCAGAATTTCTTAATATAACGTAATAAACGTAAAATGAGTTTTTGAATGATTAACATGGCTCCCATTACTCTTCCTACTTCTAATGCCGTGAAATGATCGTTTTCATCCTAAAAATCATAAAAGGTTAAAACTAACAAAAAGATAAAAGCTAAACGGTTATGACTCAACAAGGAAGCTCTCTGGCATTGCAGACTGAGATCATTGTTAATCGTCACGGTTCTATGTATCTTCAGCTTTGTACTGTGACCTCAGCAGGTCGTGACTGAGCATGATTTCATACGTTTTGGAAAATTTATGATTCGATTTTTATAATTAATTACATCTGATGTGATCATCTTACTACTATTCCATGAGTTTATTAAATACTTAACTAAAATGAAACAGTAAAAAAAATAATTAAGTATTTCTACCATTAATGGTTTTTCAGTATAATAAACATCACACAACAATTATTTAAAAAAGGAAACATCTTTTAAATCGATTGGTCAAACTATCGGAATGAAATATCCATAGAGTTTATTGGTTATCCGTCATTAAAATCTTGTTTTATAGATGCACATTAGGCTTGCGATAAAATCACAATAGCATCAACTCATTTAAAAGTAAAAACGTTTCCAGTAAACAAACATTATCACAGATTACCACACAAACCATTGTCACCAAGAACATTTTGGTTTTTATAATAGTAAAAATCCTTGTATGGATTTCTGAAACATTACTTTTCTAAACTGTATATATTAGTCATCTAAACAAACATTTTATGGACGCAACTCCTGTTTCATAGAACAAAAAACAATGTTTTCAAGGTATCGAATCAATTAAATCCCTATGAGATATTCGAATTTTGCCTGTGTCTAATGGGAAACAATTCACTTACAGAAAATTACAAGTCGTACGAAATGGCGGTAAAAACTGGAGGGCACTAACCTGCGAGCGCTACGGCAAATACGGCCGCTAAGATGAATAGGGTGATTTTATGCATTTCCAACGTCTAGACTCTGCAAGTACCAAGCAAGAACTGGCTTTAGCGTACTTGTCCACTCCTTTTATAAGGCGATTCATATATCTCTGCATTGTACGCGTCTCGGCGGTACACACACACCTTGATGCCCACAATAACGGTTATAGCGTCGTCGCCGGTAATATAATTATTATCAACTTGAATTAAATGCAAAAAACACAATATGATGAAGACCTGAAACGAAATTTTGGGATAAATAGGCGCACTATGCTTACAAAATATGTATCTAGGAGAGCTTGCTTTGAGGAGATCAAATTCGCCGAACCAAACGTCTGATCACAATATTATCATCATGAAATGTTAATACAAGTCGTTGAAACATCTGTGATCTACGCTTGTGACACAGTAGAACTTTTTTAAATGTTCGGTTATAACATTTAAAAAAAGTTCTACTGTAGCTGTAACCGAGAATTTAATATTTTAATAAAAATAAACAAAATTAAACTTGGAATTTTGGATCCTATTAGACTATTTTGTAGACAAAAAACTAATTTGATTTCAAAATACAAGTTAGTTACGTTAGAACAAAGTATCAAGTGATCTTCAAAGGTCGTCGTCAAACTAAAAACGTCGGAATGCAAAAATAATTCCTCCAACTCTACGGAAATCTTACTTACTTATCTTAAATCTTAATGCTTAAAACAATCTCTGAAGCGGTTTGTATATCGTGTACAAATTTGAGCTCAATTGTTGCAGAAGCCGCAGCAGAGTTTTTGAAGCGTATACAAACCAATCTTTCTTTTAAAGAAAGATGGTTTTTATATATATATATTAAGAATTAAGTCTAAGAAAATCACTAAAATTCATTTTAGGATTTCGTGGCGCTTAGATTTTTCTCTTCACCTAAAAATACTTAATAAAACAAAACACATTTGTTAACCAGTGTTTTTCTGTACCCAGTTAAGAATGGTTTAATTTTGATTTATTATTACTTGAATGAATTATTATCTATTGTGTTCTATTATTTATGTATCAAAGCAATAAAATGCAGAATTATAGCACCTTACTTCGTTTCAAGGATTACCTTATAAACAAATAGATACCTATAAACATGTTGTTGCAATTATGGAACAATATGTTTATATGTATTGATTAAATATCGGACAACGTATACAAAGTTTTCTCGTACTAAATACCGCAGTGTCTCATGACAAAAGTCTTCGACATGTGTGTGTTGCCTTATGGCGCAGAGACGTGATCGCTCACAATGGTCCTCATAAGAAGGCTCAAAGTCACCCAAAGAACAATGGAGAGGGCAATACTCGGAGTTTCTCTGCATGATCGAATCAGGAATAATGAGATCCGCAGACAAACCACGGTCACCGACATTGCCCGGAGAATTTCATAACTTAAGTGGCAGTGGTACATTGCTAGCAGAAACAGCAGCACAGGATCGCTTGTTGTGGCGAACCTTGGGGGAGGCCTATGAAGACCCGGTTTGAAGTTTTCGGGCGGGGCGTTCGACAGTCGACGCTGTTTTGCGCCTGAGGGCCGACCGAAGAGGCCGTGAGCTGTGGCGGCGTGCTGTTGGCGGTGTCATTGGACATCGCCGACGCATTCAATAGTCTGCCATTCAGCTGCATCAGGGAAGCACTCCACTATCATGGGGTGCCAAAGTACCTGAGGCGGCTAGTGGCAGACTATTTAGAGGAGCGTACCGTCGTGTACGAGGACCGAGAGGGTAATTCGAGGTGTCGGCCCATGTCGTGCGGTGTTCCACAGGGGTCTGTTCTTGGACCCCTCTTGTGGAACATAGGGTACGACTGGGCCCTTCGAGCCGATTTCCCCCCCGGGCTGGGTGTAATTTGTTACGCAGATGATACCCTGGTGACAGCCCGGGGGGCGAACTTCCAAGAGGCGGCGCGCCTGGCCACAAGGGGAGTCTCCCTGGTGGTCGGGCGCATTGAGGCGCTGGGCTTACGGGTGGCCCTACATAAGACGGAGGCTCTGTTATTTCATGGGCCCCGTCGTGGTCCACCCCCTGGCGTCTCAATCGTGGTCAACTCGGTCCTCGTACCGGTTCGGGCCCAGATGAAATATCTGGGCCTGATCCTCGACGGGAGGTGGCTCTTCGACGAGCACTTCCGACAGCTTGCTCCAAAGCTGGTCGGCGCTGCGTCTGACCTAGGGCGACTTTTGCCCAATTTGGGTGGACCCAGCGTCGCGACAAGACGGCTGTACACGGGGGTTGTCCGGTCAATGGCACTATACGGTGCACCGGTGTGGGCGGCGGCTCTGACCGCCCAGAATAGGGCACGCCTCTGGCGCCCTCAGAGGGTATTGGCGGTCAGAGCCATACGCGGTTACCGCACCGTTTCGACGGAGGTGGCTTGCGCGTTGGCCTGAACTCCCCGGTTTGATTTGGAGGCGGAAGTGCTCGCCGAAGTTTATCGGCGAGTGGCTGACTCCCGGGCGGAGAGCGGATTTCACCCTCCGCCCGAAGACGTGCGCGAGTGGCGCGAAGCCGCTCGCCGAGCCACGATGGCTCGTTGGTCGTTCCGGCTGGAGACTCCACGCGCTGGCTTCGCCGCCGTGGAGGCTCCCTTACCTTCCGGCTGACGCAGGTGCTTTCCGGGCACGGTTGCTTCGGAAAGTACCTGCACTCGGTCGCTAGGAGGGAACTGAGTCCCGCCTGCCACCACTGCGACTGCAGTGAGGACTCGGCCCAGCACACGCTGGCGGTCTGCCCCGCATGGGCGACGCATCGCCGGGCCCTCACTGCAGTCATCGGAGTGGATCTCTCGCTACCGGCCGTAGTACGCTCCATGGCCGGTAGCGACAGTTGTTTTACCGCGGTCGCAACCTTCTGCGAGGAAGTAATCTCGCAGAAGGAGGCGGCGGAGAAGGCCCGGGAGGACGACCTCCACTCGGACCCGATCCGCCGCCGGCGAACCGGGCGGCGGAGGCGCGCTTTTCTGCGCCTCATGCCGCCCTGAGTGTGGCCGCGGGTGGACGGGGTGGGTTTCCCCTCCACCCGCATTAGTTTGGCCAGCCGCGAGGGGGCGGCGTCCGCGTGTGCCGGACGTTGCCTAAAGAGAGGTTAAATTTTGAGACGGAGCCCGCACCAGGAGCGGGCAGGCGCTAGGAGGGGTCCGGATGTCTTAATAACAGCTGTTCCCAGATCCCTCCTGTTACAGGCGCAGAGTGGTTTTAGTCGGTCCGAGTCCGACACACCACCGCGCCGCAAACCCCGGTGGGGTGACGGTCCGAGGGGATTTCCACACGTAAAAAAAAAAAAAGGCCTATGAAGACCCAAGTCAGTATATGGATAGGTGACCATTTTTAACATATTGAGACTCCTGCGTGCCTCGGAGAGCATGTGTTATCCACACGAATGTCTGTGTCAATCAATTACAGGTAGTTGGAGCCCTAAAAAGTACAATAACAGTCTTTCTAAAGAACTTTGATATGGCCTAGTACTTGGGTACCTAGTACGCTCCGCGTAAAGAATCGAAGTTCAGCCGTATCATAGTAGACTTAAAGCCGACCCCAACCTATTTTGGGAAAAAGGGCGGGGGAAATCGAATCATTCTTTACAGAATTTACTGTGTCAGTGAGTGATGGACTATTTGCTTTAGGCACACTTAGTTGAAGTAGCATATACACTCTTCATTTGTCTTTAAAAAACAAATTCTTGTGAACTATGTCTTCAATGATTAGTACAATGTTACATGCGTATATTTATGTGTTATCTATAAAAAAAAAATCCTATACGTGCTAATTATATTTTGAAAATTCTAGGAATTTTTAGTTTATCCAAGGCGCCAAAAACTACCTTTTTCAACTTAACTTTATTGAACACATTCTCACTGTTATACTGGACTCTTATAATTGATTGGATTGGGCCTTACTTTTTTGAAGATGAGACCGAAATTGCAGTGACTGTAAACGGCATTCGTTACAGGAATATGATAACGGAGTTCTTGTGGCCTCAACTGGACGGCATGGATCTGGACAACATGTGGTTTCAGTAGAACGGCTCCACCTGCCACACCGTACATGAAACAATCGACTTATTGCAGCAACGATTTCCAAAACACATTATCTCACGAAATTTTGATGTCAACTGGGCACCACATCGCATGGCGTTAAATCGCACTTAACGCCATGCGATGTTTTTCTTTGGGGTTATGCGAATAAGAAACCAGAAACAATTCCTGAGCTCAAAATAAGAGATCCAATTCGTCATCGGTGACATACAGCCACATCTCTGTGTAAACGTCATGGAAAATTTAATGAAAAATCATCAAAGCGGTGGGGGCCATTCGCCGGATATTTTATTCCCTCAATTTAATCGGAACATGTCTTCTTTACAATCCACTAAAAATATTACAACTCTTTTATAAAATACGTGTTTTTATTTTAAAATGAAAAAGTGCACTCTTACTGAGACACCTTTTAGAAGTTAAACAGAAATGCATGCAATGTACTCGTAATTCTACCCTGTCTAACATCACATGGTCACTTGTACGAGTCTGATGTGCTATTTCCCCATTTCACGACATTAGTTTGATGTTCATACCAGAATTGTAATGTTTTAATCACCTCATTGGGTCGGTACGTCTGTTTTCATCATTTTTGACCATAATTTTTGCTAATCCAGGCGGTCGGAGGCTTTACTCAGGTCTTCATTAGGAAATAGTCAATGTAGGTATGTAACAATACTTAAAAAAATATAACAATATAGATACGAGTATTAACCATTTCAGGACTTCCTGAACTATACCGCTTAGACTACGCATTCAAAACTTCCTTAACGACAAACAACATAAGTTATTATTATTACACAACACAATGATTACTAGATTTTAAATGAACTAACATGAGATCACTTGTTGTCACAAATTTATTTTATTACTTAAGTTGTTTAACAACAAAGGTTAAAAATTTGTACATATTTATTATTGTTATTTTACTACAGGTATTTTCCGACACGGGCACGCCGTCATCGCGGCGGTAAG